GTGTCAGTGGGGTCATAAATTACTGAGAGTTCAGTCTTCTTTGCTAGTAAGCAAGGGCCGGCAGGGCGGCTATGATAGAACCGTGAAAAGCACCGGCAAACCTCAGATATCAGTGATAATTAAAAGATATGACCACTGGTGGCAGTAGCGTGCTTAGCTCAAATGTGCACGGGGATGGGCTGGAGGGTAATGATACCCGAGGCCGTCCCCGTGCATCGCCCGTACTTCTGCTCGTCCAGCCACACCACCAACCACAGCTGAACGCGCTACCTGTCTGCGTCCTCTTAACACCTTGTTCTTTATCGCTGACTGCTCGTTCTGTTCGCCGCGGGATTTCTGAATCAGCGCAAAAGCTGTGAGCAGAGTCGGAAGGCGGCATCCTAGTGACATCCTACCGCAACCTACTGCCCTGCTCCCTTGCATTTATAAGCGGAAAAAGTGGCAGAGACACCTTGGAAGCTGCCATATTCCTGCTGACCGCGTGGACCATTCCAAATCGGGGGAAAAGAGGAAAGCGATAGAAATAACTGCATCAAAACTCAAAATTCTCACTTTTGCAACTTCACTTGCGAAGTTGTTGTGGCCTTTCTTACGAGCTCGTAACAATTTTCGTGCTTCCTGCTTAGTTTCACCGAAAACTTGCTTCTGAAAAAGCCGTGTGCTTCACAAAATGCATTTCAGCGTTAGCAACATGTTGAGAATCAAAAAGAGACATCCATGACGAAAAATTGAAGGACGCACCTTGACATCCTCAGGGATATCCGAATCCAACTTGAATAAGGAAATAAAGACACCGCCAGGTGTACGTCTTCGTTGTCCATTTTCAATCTAAAAAATTTCGAAATGTCAACGTGTAATTAAGCAAAAACTCAAAAGAGTACCATCATTCCACCTGTTGATTCAACCTTCCGTGTCTCTTCGAATAGCGCTATAGCCTAAATGTAAAAGATGCTCAGTGCCACTTGGGTCAAGAACCAATGAGTAAATCAGACTTTATCAACTCCACAGGCTCGAACGATGGTTTTTACTGTTCTGGGATCGCGTTCGCCCATAGCTTTTGCTATCTCATCACCAAGCTGTTCTACGGATATATCAGAAGCAAATTCCACAGCCATCAATGTTTCAAGCGAGTAGGATGCTGTCAATAATTGTCCAGGATCGCTGATCTGAAATGAGGCTCAAAAACGATAACAGACAAGGATAGCCATGACGCTTACCCTGCTTTGCCATGGGCGTTTCAGTCCATTACCACGTCCTCTGTCAATAAACCTGCCCCTTCCACCACCACCACGAGCGCGACCCGGAGGTCCTCTACCGCGTACGGTGTTTGACTGAGCTAAAGGAAATATTTCAAGAGCAATTAGTAAATAAATTAAGACTAAGCATTAGAAGTAGGACCTTTCTCGAGCGAAGAGAACTTGCAAAATTATACGCACCTCCTCGTTTTCTGACAGCATCAACCACTACACTGCGATCACGAGAGCAACTCGTGTCATCAGGAAGTCGTTCACAAAAAGCGGTTTCGCAGTCGAGATCAACCGGAGCGTCACCAAACGGATCATCGGCGATTTCCGGTTTTGTGTTACGCTCCACTGATTTGCTGTACTAAAATAACAATGTAACCGCTGAGGACTGGATTGATTTGATGACAGCAGTGGCACCAATATAATCCAGAACAAGGACAAAAATAGAAAGTATTTTGATGCTGATCACGAATGCTGAGTTACGAGCAAAAGTCAGACCCCAAACGGGATTCGAATAGCGTTACAGACCCAGTGCGCTATCTGTTAGGCCACCAAGGTAACCAACCGCGGGGCTGAAGGGCTTCCATGTTTTCAAGTTGTTTCAATACGATAACTGTTGTTTAGCGCCGTAGTTCACGCTCTTACAAGGGAGGTCGTTCAGGGCGTGGTGAGCTTTTTCAAAATGGTCTTGTGCATATTGTAGGGGCACATACGAGGACCAGAAAACTGAGGTTCATTTTCGCTGCGCGCTTCTACGAATAAAAAAAACGTAAAAAATAGGTCGATGGTTCGGATCCCACCGAGGACAAAATTTTGCTTTTCTACAATTTTTCATTTTTTGGATCCATGTTTGTCTAAATAATTGGTCCTAACAAAAACATTCACGATAAACTGAACAATCCTACTTTTATGGAGCAAAACTGCTTTTTCGTTCGAATTCGTTAGTATGCACAGACTCAGCTCTTCGCGCTATGCCGGTGCCAGATGGCACTGGAACCGAAAATAAAGTCTAGAATCGTGATCAGGACTGTCGATTACCCCTAGGAGCAAGTTTTGAGCGAAAAATTTTTTTTGACTTTTTCGGGTTGTAGGTGACCGACCATTTGGTCGGCAGTGTGAGCGGAGTCTCACATCTTCGTAACAGCGATGACGTATCGTTGACGCTACGGACACCGGACAACCCAATAAGCAAACCCAAGAAGGTCAAAACAATTGTTTTGACCAAAAATTCGTTTTTAGTGGTAATCAGTGGTCCTGACAAATATATTCTTGGCGTCCACGCAATCTGGCGACAGAATAGCGCTGAACGTTCCCTATATTGGTGTACATAACGAATTCAGTGGAAAGAAGATGTGGCCCCAAATTGTCTATAATCGCACCACACCAGAATTACTAAATTCGCAATCAGATCCACTGTATAGCCTATGAGGATCAACGTCCAGCAACAATCTTGTTCAATGGTGCGTGAGAATCGAAATAATTGAATAGCGCTGACTCATGAGGTATAGCTACTCAGAATGTGCCCATAAATGGCAAATATCCGAGTTATATTCATGCGCAGGCAAAAATGGAAGCGAGAACAGCGAAATCTAAAAAATGCAAAAAGCGACGACGCAAGGGGAGCCGAACCATCAACCCCACCCCCACTGTCCGATTGCGAAACCTCACTCTATCCACTAGGCCATCCGATGCTCGACTGCTAGCGCTCTTATCGTTGATGAAACCGCAAGAAGCCGTTCACCCTTGAGCACATGACCCAAGTTGGAAGCTCACTTTTATCTTTTTTCGTTTTTTTTTTTTTTTTATTTTTTTTTTTCTTTTTTTTTTTTTTTTTTTTTTTTGCGCGATTTTCCGCTTCGATTCAAATAGCCCCTTTATAAGGACCCCCACTCAGCAACTGGTCAAAGTTGCAAGTGACCTACGCCGTAAAGAGGCCCAGAACGAAGCAGATTCCAAAGATTTCTTTTCACTCGTTTTTTACCGTTCCTGGAAGCGCGCAGCGAAAATGAAGCACACTTTTCAGGTCCTTGCGTGAGCCCCTACAATATGCAACAAACCGTTTTCGAAAAGCGCACCACGCCCTGAACGACCTCCCTTGTTAGCAAAGCATACCTCATTAGCTGAGTTGTAAGCAAGTCAGACCCACAAGGGGACTTTGAAGCCTCATCGTCCCGTTTAACACGTAGGTTGGCATCTATTAGTCTTGCGGTTATACTTTTGCGGCAGCGTAGCGAGCGCTTCCAGGCACCGGCCAGCGGCAATGTCGCGCTAAGGTGTGCGAGGGCACGGGAAGCATAGCTATCGATCTAACCTCCAAAAGCGTTTTCAATAGTGTCTCGCTGGCACAGCGGCGGGGCTAGAGAGTATAGAAGAGTAGGAGAGTACAAAATACTCTCCTACTCTTCTATACTCTCTAGCCCTGCCGCTGGCAAACGCTAGCGAAACGCTAGTGAAACGCTAGTGAAACGCTGGAAGCGCTACGCTACGCTGCTGCAAAGTATAAACACAGCTTTACTGGAGCCGCTTTCGCCCTCTCAATGTTGAACCATGGCGGGTTCGAATCCCGTTAGAGGCCTGACTTTAGCCAATAGCTCAGCACTCTTGTGAAGATTTTGGGAGCGCGCACTGCGGCGTTAAGCACCACTCGGCTAAATGGCTCAAATGCCCTATCGAGTTCGAATGGGATCAGCTTTTTCATAGATGTCCATACCAAAGAAATGATATTTAGTAGATGTCATAGAAATTTCGTCTTCTCATCAAGCATCACCTTCAACTGATTAGAGCGGTTTAAAACTCGGTGGACGGGCTCTTCAGGTAATCCCTCCTCAAAAGGGCGCCCAAGCGTTACACATTTACAAGGTCCTAATTACCATCTCTCAATTGCTTTTACCGACTTCAGTCATTTCTAAGGAGCATCACTGCTTGAACATATCCATCACAAGTTTCAGCTGCTTCTGCACCTTGACATCCAAGATTAAGTGCAAAAAGCTGTCGCCAAAAACTCACATTTGTGGCAACCCGACACTAAATTTCAATGAAATGAACATTTAAAAGTACAGTTATGAGTAAGAAATTAAGCTCGCTGTGTTGTACAGCAGGGAAGTGCCTGTTAAACAGTATAGAACACAGGGAAAAACTCTCACCTTGCACACAAGATTTTTTGTAAGAATAAAACTTATCACTTACCGGCCCTTTAACACTTTTGTGGAACTCACCGATTCAAAAACCTCCTTATCAACTCGAACAAAATTGGAAGGGATATGGTATGACTCCACTCCACGTGCAACTCTTCCATCGTTCTGAACAATTCGATTTAAAAAAAAAAAACAAATGTCACTCGGTAATTTTTGAAGCACAAACTTTCTTCTTCTCTAAAGAGATACGAGATCCTTTCGCATGTAAACTTTCATCCACCAAAGCATCAGTCCAAAGATTGGCTGCTCGTTTAGTGGCAGGACCCTGGTCCACCTAAACAGAAAAGCAATCACAGACAGTCAGAAAAAAAATACTTGTGCGTTGTTAACGTATACGAGTTTTAGGTCACTTTCAATAACACCAGTACCCTCAGACAAGATGAGTAGTAGATTTCTCACAATTTACAAGTGTTATTGCTACATTTAAAACGTTCAACGTTGACCACTGAAAGCTAAAATATCACGTGAGGCAATAGGTAGTTGGCTCTAATGTCCGGTAGCAAACCTGGCTACCGGACATGAGAGGCAACATTTGCTCTAATGTCCGGTAGCCAGATTGCACACATTTCAGTCTAGCAGTTTCTGTTAAACCAAAATTCCGTACCTCGATGTTCACCCCACTGAAACGTAACTGCTCGGCCTCCCATCGGAAAAAAAAGATCTTTTTCGCATATTTCCGGTGATATCACGCCAAAGCCGAGAAGTTTGTGCTGACGTTAAAGTCTACTTCACAAGCATGTGATAGCCCGCCTCTCTGGTAGTTTTTTTCGAGGCGCATTCACATACTTGTTAGAAACCGCTACAAAATTCTTTGCATGGACTAGCACAGGGAAGGCTGTACGCACGCAACATTGAGGAATTGTGGAGTTCGTACAGCTTGAGGTCGAGCGAATATGACTTTGTACGTGCCGATTTGGAGAATCGGAGAACGTGAGAATTCGTGGACAAGGCCAGGGGGAAATTTAGTGGTTTCTATGTTTCACAGTGGTGGGGTGGTCAACCGACACATAACGATACTTACAATTTCTTTTTCGCAAATTCTTCCTTCTATTTCGCTTTTCCCTGTTTAGCGCAGCACATCGCGCACCGAAGGTTTTCACGAATTACAGCCGCGGAAAAAAAACTTGGAACAAGCCAAATAAATCGGAATTCTCTATCAAATTATTACTTGATTTTCCCTGGCTTGTGTACCAAAATATTGTGGATATAGATTAAGTATGCCTGAAAGAACTGTTTTCAAATCAGTAAAAACGACCCTAAGCGAACATAGAATTACGTGAAATCTAGGTTCCGGCACCCAAGCCAGCATCCGGATGTCGAAATGACAGGGCAAAATCCTTCAGCTCAACTCCATCAGGCATCTTTGAGATGACTTGAAGCATGACTCAAAGGAAGAAACCACCAACACGAATGAGCGGTTTCACGCCTATTGAGGAAATTGGATTCGAATATCCGTGGATACCCCTGAAGCTCCTATAAAGTCAGTTCCAGCTCTGATCGAATCCAAGTAAGTAAACCAAATTCAGAGCGCTGCATAGCTTTCTCTTGTTGGATGCCCGCTGTGTGCTCACCATAACATGTAATGTTGTTGAATAAGAGCTTCAGAACTGTTCAAAAGCGATTTTCTGGCTTGTTTCAAATTTTTTGTTTCGCAGCTGTATATTTATGAGTGGCCATGGCAGTGAGAATGTATGCATACAAGGTCTGACCGGTGAAATGAAGGCTATTCACTCTGTGAAGAGCAAGAATGGCTATCATTCGCGGTAACGTCACGGTATAACATGATATGTGGCGCGACTGATTCCAGAAGTGAGATTAAGTTCGTCTCCATTGAAAGAAATACATAAGAAGCTCTCACGTAGGCAGGCTGTCGTCAAGGTTATACAGAAATCTGTTCCAGACCGATAAAATAGGTTCAACGAAGTGATAATGGAATACAGACCTCCTCATCCACATCTGCTACTTCTTGAGTGTCGGGCAGGATATCATCATCTTCATTACTCGATAAATCCGAATCTACAACAGAATAACCGGCGGCGTTAGAAATTCGAATGCAATGGGTCGCAGTTTTGAGCAAAATCAAAACATTCACTTACCATGTGCCTTCTTTCTGTAATCCATTCCCAGCCTAAACAGCGATCCATAAAGACTCATTTGCTGTGATCAGTTGAAATACAAAAATCTGCCATAAAAACGGTCAGTAAACGGCGATGTCCCAAAATAAACGTTTTCAATCACATAATATTTATATGCTGAAATGGACAACATCACACAAAACCGCCAAAGCATATGTATATTACAGCATCGGTTCCATAAAACACTCAAACGACTGCACAAATGTACAAAGCAATGTTAGAGGTAACTCTCTCATAAATACAACGTAAACAAAATATGAAAGACATGTAAGAATCCTCATCCCTTATTATGAGTATTTCCCCAGCCTCGTCGATGATCGTCTTTGTAGTCATCCCACCTCATCAACCTCGCCCTTTCTCGCTCTTCGGCCTCCTCTCCCTCGAGTTCTCCAGACTGGTCCACGTTGCCATCTCTTCAAAGGCGAGCTTTTTCCTACTAAGGTAGTAGCGAGACGTAAGAGCGCGTTCATAATTCGCGATCGCGCGATCGGATCGCTCTACAGGATCGCGCAATCGCGAAGTCTAAAGGCGCTCTAAGCAAGCAAAGCGGTCGAAATACATACTTATCGCCTGGATGATGGTGCTGTTGTTGCTGTGACGTCGATGAAGCGTTACCAAATCGCTGGTTGTACCATTCATCGACAGTCATAGTGGGAATAGAGGGATATCCAAGACCATACACGGCTTTCTGCTGCTCCGAACGCGCAATTATAAATGGTCGTAAAGGCGCTAAAAACGTCATAGAAAAACAATAACATCAATACATCACATAGGCCGCCTCCATACGGCCATACAGGGAGGGAAGAAGAACCACTAACGACCTACCTGGTTTCGGGTCACTTTTCTGCAATGTCTTGTTTGTCATCGTTGATCCGTCATTGCTCTCTTGCATACGCTTCTTCATCATTTCTACGAGTGGTAGCTCATCTAAAACAGACTGCCGTTCAATTCAAATGTAGTGGCATTTTCGATATTTCTCTATGAAAGCAACTAAAGACACCTTGAACTGGATAAACTCAGTCGATCGCGTGCTGATTGTTTGACATGCAGTGTAAAAATAACACAAAAAAGTAACCTTCAATAGATTCCAGTTCTTCGATAGCCTTTCCTTGCCAATATTTCACCACTGCCAGATGAAGGCTTCTCTTAAAAAGAATTAAACGTTATCAAGAAACAAGCAGTCTGTACTCTGCAGAACATGCAATTTGTAACATACAGTACCAGAACTGATTCGTCCCCGTTGTTCTGCCCAAGAAGTTTTTCCAGTTCAATCATTGTGTTCTTCAATTCTTTCTGCTTTCGGTACCGAGCTATCTTTCGCTCTCGTAGCTCCTCCCCCGTGAATTTCTTTATTCCAAAACGGGAGGCATCAGTGCTTTCTTCTGAAATCATTAAGTTTGGCTTTACATGCGAATAAAAGAACAGTGAAAACAGGGACTTTCGGATCTACGTTCTAAAAAAACCTCTTTAAGATCTCTCTAAGGCAGTGTTCATACATACTTTGCCACTGAGGAGATTAGACAATCTGAGAGACTAAGCGATTTGAGAGATTGCTACGAAGAAAGCATAAGTATCGATCTGGTGACTGGGATGTACAGCGATTCACCGGTGAGGAAAACTCGGCGTTTCCGGCGATTGCGCGCCAAAGGATTGGATGGGTTTTGATTGGCGCTGGTTGCTAGCAACTGCGGAGATTCGGCGACCCAGCGATTTGAACAGCGGAGATTCGGCGACCCAGCGATCCGGCGATTTGAGAGGTTTGACGATCTGGCATTTGAAGAGATCGCTAACTCTAAAAACCGCCGAATCTGCTCACTCGCAAAGTATGAACACAGCCTTAAGGCACATCTCATATTGATCTTATGGGAGGAGTGACTCGGACCACTTCGCTTCCTCTCATGAAGAAATGCGCTTCCCCTCTCACCTTATGGGTCAATCGAACCCCAAACAATGAAAGTACTGAGGCCCTCTCTCAGCACTGACATACCTCAGACTTCGCTGCATCCGAGTACTGTTAACTTTGCGATGCAACCTGCGGCATGGGCAAGAATGCTTAACAACCAAAAGCATGTCAAAGTCGAACTGATGTCCTAATTTGCGTAAAAAAAGCCTAGATTGTGAAGCAACTACATCCGTAAGATGACCAAAAGCAGGCAAGGACTCCGTAATAACAGTGGTGGATGTTTGATAGCATAATTCCAAAGAATATGACAAAACTTTCCAGCCAACCTGGTGTGTAGCAATCAGTAAAGAGAAAGGCTAAAATGATCAATCGATCAATTGAATTCATAATAAAAGGTGCTTCACAACCTGTGGCACTCTGTATCACCATTGGAACAAAACTTTAGAAATTACCTGGTCCTTCCTGAGCGAGAAAGAAGTCACGTTCGAATTCGAAGCCATAAGTGCGAAGCCTTTTCAAGAAATCGCGGTAATAAACCTTAAAGCAAAACGAAATAATGAACT